AAAAAAAATTTGATACGGAATTGTCTTAAGAGACAACCCGTGCATAGACTATTGCAGCGAAGACCGTCGAAGAAGCGTCGCAGAAATGGATGAGTTTCGAAACCACCTCGGTATAAGAAAAGATCGAACATTCAGCATATCGGCGCAGTAGGCGTCCTATGAAAAGTGGTGCGCTAGGAGACTACATAGTCCCGGCTTATCTTCTGATGCCATTGTGTTTGTATTAAGGTTTTTCCTCTGATTGTCAATGAGCTCAACCAGCATAAAAGATCGTACAAAGAAGGTCCTGCACGCAGCAAGGAATTAAGCGAAATGCAGGAAGCCGTCATAACCCAAGCGTTGAAAACGACACGGATCTTCGTTGTGAGGCTATCCAGTAGTAAAATGGCTTGATGTGGAATGAATGTCTGGCCTGCGGTTGTTTCGCTCAATTGGGACATGTGTTTCAATGATCTGTACTCATTGATAAACGCTGATATATTGAAAGGAAGACGTATTATGAAACGACCGTCTGCTGCCCTAAAGTGAAAGTTTACTCTGTCCTCTTTTTCACGTTTTTCAGAAAATTCACGAGGCCACGCTTATGGAAGTCATCACTATACGATGATAACGCGCAGATGAAATAGAAAACAATTTAGCCGACAATGGATAAATAAAATTAGAAGGTTGTGTCAAGGAGCTCGAGTTATTTGTCAGAAAGAAAAATCTGTCTGTATTCGTATATTCCCCTAGGGACACGTTAACCTGAATACAATACATAGATAGATCAGCTTGAATACGAACGACGGTTGCATGGATAAAGCAAATACACAAGTTTATGTACAGTCGAAGGACAGCACAACGACCGAACGACAAAGAGAATTTGAAGTACTTAGCGATCACAAAATTGCACGCATGAAACGTAGTGATCCAACTCGAAGGACCATTAAATGTTAGGCTAGCCCTATCCTATCCATCTTTAGTTCGATTACGAGTAGAGTAGGCGGTGTAAACCCGAACCGAAAAAAGGGGCCGATTAGGTACTACGAATTAATCCGTGGTCAATTGTTCCAACAGAAAACTAGGTGATTTGCCCTTACGTACTAATTGACCCTTTCTTATTTGATTGAGTTTCACACCTCCTATCCAATTCATAATCGATTCAGATTTCAATCAGATAGGGCGAACCTAACAATGACTTTTAGCATCTGTGTAACGTTTATGGTGCTGAAAGCAGCCGCCTTTCTGACCCTAAATTTGGTTTCATTGAACTGTACAACCAAAATTGCAGTAATAGCTTTCACAGAAAAATATATACACATTTTTAGCATTTCGCTGTCATGCTCGTTTTTCATCTAGTAGATCATCAATAGATATCCACGTTGTGCATTCACCCCGTACCATGTTCGTATAATGACCCCTAGCAAAACTTTTAACGTAGTGGAAAATCGCTGTTTTAAGTTTATAAAATTGATCCCTTACTTGTATTTTAGTAGTGGGTGCTGCTTTGTTATTGAAATTTTGTATTTTTGTTGTTTCATTCCTACTGTAGTACATTCCTCTGACGACAGCCGCTCATCATACTATTTCGCCGGGAGCCCAACAGCAAGGTGCTATTTGCATAACCGGCTCCGGAAGGGCGCTGCGCGGCCACCCCTTTCCTGGTCCCAGATTCTTGATTCCGCGCGGGCTTTAAATCTCATGGCACGATCGAGTTGCTCGGGTGAAGGCGTGCTTCATCGCTCCTCCGATTTATCAAAGACGAGATAAACATAAGCGAATGAGCGGCGTAGCAAACGCAGTCCGCGTGGCCAATCCAAGATTCTTCTAGTAGGGACTAGCTGGCCAGGTTATACTCCAGGTGCTTGGAGGGTATGTCGCCGGGGAGGAGGTGCGGAGGAGACGCTTGGAGAGAACGCAGGTACGGCGTATCCTTTTTAGGATGACGATCTCCAGGAAAACAATAAGCTATCCCGCCTTCCTAATTAGCGATCGTGTTGATACTCGTCTGGTTCCATTACAAATCGAGAGAACTCGAGAGTAGCTGGCCGATAAACAACCGTCGTAGACGACCCGGACAGAAGTGCGACACGAGGCTGTGGCAGCGGCCCGCAACCAAATCACGCGTATGTAATTCAAGTTAGACCAATAGTGTACTCCTTTCCGTTCATATCAAAGCGTTTAGTCTAGTTTATTTTTCTATTTTTGTATGTTATACTAGAATAATGCTTGTTTCGTTGTATTGAAACGGTGATACAATCTATAAAGATTTTTATAATATTGTTACGGCGACTTGCCCAAATTAAATCGCTGTAATGTGATACCGTCCTGTGATGGACAACTCCCAAAGGAAGAATTGAAGTTAAAGGTTGTCACGCGATCAAGTTACCGACGTTTGAGCAGCTGATGTATAATTATGTTGTGTTGTTACGCTGTGTTACTGTAGATAAAATGCCGCTACGTGTTGTACGGATACTTAAGAAAATTCGCAACATTAGGAGCTCGTCTGGTATCGAAGAATCGATCGGAAATGTATCACCGGAATCGTAGATCCTTTTTGCAAACCTCCGACAGGTAATTTGGGAGCAACTGCAGGAGCAGGAGATACTGTTCGAACTGCGACTGGAAGCGGACAGGCTGCAGCGCAAGGAACGGTAACAGATTACTGCGTCCGAACGAGAGGCTCGCATAGAAGAGAGGATAACGCGGATCGAGTACTATAATACCAAGTGCTATCACTCGGAAGCGTGTGTAAATAATACGAACATTCATGTAAATATTGCGAGTGTGCCTGTTACTTCGGGTGTTTCTATGGTCACTCAATTGCATATTATTAATCAATCGCGTACGTATTGATCAATTTACTCGTGATTCTCTGTTCTGCGTGAAGAAATAGACCTATCAACCAATCAACCTACGGTTGAATTCCGAAAACGAAGGTTTAGGTCATGTTGTAATTTTTATTTATTTACCATTTGTATAATTTAGTTAATCGTAATATTTTAACTTGTCAATATGAATAATACATACAAAGATTGCTGGGAATATTTTCGAAAAAATAAATACGAAGAATCTGGCCCACACGAGATAAATTGACGCGACAAAGATCCAAGAGTTCGATCACGAAAATAGCGGAAGGGTAACCCGCATGGCCGGGCGGATCTCGCGGGTACAATTACGAGACAATTCTCTGAAGAGCCAATGCTCTGAATTAATCTTTAATCGGGTCAGTAATACAAATTGGGCAGCCTTGTGGATGCATTCGAGAGCCCGCACTCTTTGCAGTTTTCTGCGGAAAATGTTCAGCCGCGGCGTAATTCGATTTTCACGACGGTACGGTAATTCAACGCCAAGACGATAGTCGCTGTAAAATGCAGGTGCTGGACGCTATTACAGCTTGATTGTCGAATTCGCTCGCGATAACGCAAAGTGGACGAGAGCACGTTAACAGTCGACGGGATGTCGGATCGCCTACGCCGACACTGCGAGGATTTCCGAAATCTTCGTAATTATTGAATTTGAACTTTTACCCCAGGTCGCGAAACGTACAGGAATGCCTGATTCGTCGTATTACTTATTGCAACGCAAAGACCTCGAGGAAATCTGTCGGGCGCGACAGAAACAACGCGAAACCCCGTCAAACGTTTCCCACGGGACCGGATGGAAGCGTGGGGGCGAGACGCGCCTCCACGCGCGCGAAAGTCCGAGTTTTTCGAAATCTAATCTGTTTCCCACGCTTACTACCAAGCCATCACGCGAAAGTCACGAAGGATTACTGAATGTGACTTATCGCCTCTGGTTGCAATTCTTGTCTTTCCTTCTTCCTCTCTCTCTAAAATAATTATTAGTATAATTATTAGCGTAATAGTTCATAGAATTTTAATATTATTATTTTTCAATCATTTCAAATTAAAAAATTTATTATTTAAAACAAAAATTATAATATATATATAGTTAATCTAACAATTATTATTAATAATATTATTGTAAAATTATAAAAATAAATTAAATATTATTGATCAGTGTTTAGTGATAATGCAGTGAAAGTAAACGATGGAATAGCCCGTCCGGAGACATCCTTCTGTTCGTCATCGTCGGATACAGATCAGCTGTGTAGTTCTGTGGCGGCGACAAGCCGGCGCCACGTCTCCGCCATGTGTTTAGTTTTAAGGCGTAAGAATGTTTGGACGAATGGGCCGGGCTGCATGCTATGTGTTAGCGTCGAGCGAATGTCTAGACGATTGGTTTGAGTGTCGCGTAGAATGAATGCGTCTAGCCAGGACAGAGTGAAAGCGAACCGTGAGAATGAGAAAGAATGATCTGGATGGGATGCATCGGTGAGCGAATGGTTAGTTCAGTAAGAACCCTCGTCGGGAACGGTACGCGAGCATCGCGAGTTTGGTTCCGACGCCAATTGTGAATAAATAGTCTAATAGTCTAATTGTAATAATAGTCTAATTGTAACCGGGTTCAATTCTCTCTTCCCGTCGCCGATCCCACCTCCTCAGTTCTTTATATATTGTACAAGGTCAATGCACTATCCTCCTGCATATATTTCCGTGCATGAAATGGATTAACAACTAAATGGGCGAGTTTCTTATTGATAATATTCTTCATATTTTTCTAACAAACAAATTACTTATATCCTTTAACATGATTAGTTATTATTAAATTAGCTTTGCGAATCATTCGTTGAATTCTATTCGGATGCGGAATTATATAAATTAAAATATCATTCACGTACTTTGTTAATCTTTATTGTACATCTTGCTTAAAATTTTCATATGATACACACGAGGTGTCATGCACACCAGAAAATTAAAACGGCCGTTACGGTTACATCACTTATTATTTCGGATTCGAAAAATTAGTAAACATTCTTCAAACATTCTGAAATAAGAATGAATAGCTTTTTTTTTTAATTTTCACTGTCACGTAATAAAAAAAGATTCGGAAGTCTACTCTTCATGACTTGTTCATTCATTCGAACACTGTACGGAACCCTTCTGCATCTGTCACGCTCCACGGTCGAAGCACGTTGCACGTTCTCATTGGTCAGTGTTTTTCGTTAATAACTCGTAAACAAAGCCGCGGATTGTAGTTTTGCAAAGGAAAAAGTTACTTTAAATGACCTCAGTTACCCCACATTTTCGGCAGTTAAAATAATTGTGAAACACCTTGTATACAGAAATGTAATCACTCAGGAACCAATATCATATTTGACTACCACCAACAACACCGTTCTACCAAACGACATTCGTTGTCTTCTGTATGAAACTAAAAATGATATGTACAGTGATATGACGAAAATTATTGATAGTTTTTTTTGTCCGATGCGCCATCTGATGACATAATGTCCTTATTATTAAACCAGTATATAAAAAATCTACCTACCTAAGTAACTAAGCCCACTGATGCTGCTAATGATCATGCAGAAATAACCGAAGTAAGAAAAATAAGTTTAACAATAAAAGCAGGAAAAGCAACAAGAATAATGTAATCAACAATAAAAAACGCAGAAAAGATAAAAATAGTAAAATTATAAATAACAGTTACCAGAATAAAAACACGAATAAAAATAACAAATGTACTAGAGCATATATCAATCGGAAAGGTTAAAATATATCCGCGCTAATAATAAACCCTCAGAATATACACGCATCCAAAAATTATGTAATAAAAACACATCTCAACTGGCTGAACATATAATTACTGTGAATCCGCTTAATAAAAATAAATCACCAACAATGAAAAAAATTGAGGAATATTGTACTAAACTATTCGACCATAACGATATAGGATGGAAACCACAGAAATACAAAAGAGATTGCATCAATCATGAGATTGCCCGCTGAATTTAAACATATTATTAAGCTGAGGAAATGGAACTGACAAGGATTTCCTTAGTAACGGCAAGCGAACAGGAATTAGCCCAGCATTAAATCCCGCGGTTCCGCCATTGGGTAATGTAGTGTTCAGGAGGGTCAATTTATCCTGTAACGTCGCAATCGCGTCCAAGTCCATCTTGAATGGGGCCATTTATCCATAGACGATGCCAGGCCCGTAGTGGCCGGTACGCGTTTCAGGAGGACCTCTCCTTAGAGTCGGGTTGCTTGAGAGTGCAGTCTTAAGTGGGTGGTAAACTCCATCTAAGGCTAAATATGACCACGAGACCGATAGCGAACAAGTACCATGAGGGAAAGTTGGAAAGAACTTTGAAGAGAGAGTTCAAGAGTACGTGAAACCGTTCAGGGGTAAACCTGAGAAACCCAAAAGATCGAATGGGGAGATTCATTGATAACGAGGCTCGGCTTCCGTTGGCGCGTGATACCCCGAATGGTTCCCTTCGTGGTTCCAATGCGAGGGCACACCGTCTTCGGCAAATGTTCCGGCAACGTAGTCGTGCACTTCTCCCCTTGTAGAACGTCGCGACCCGTTGCGTGTCGGTCTACGGCACGAGTTGTTGACTGTCGGCGTCGCCTTCGTGCGTACACGACAGACGCTCGATCGCCCGGCCGGCTGCGTGACGGTACACTATTTACGGTATTGGGCCGCTACTTGCTCCATTTTCGAATGTATGTGCGTTCAGGCCCGTCGCAAGCTCGGTTAGTAATTACCCGGATGGTACGGACCTGGTGTCGGCTCCGGGCCTAGCCAGCTGTTGGCAGGCGGTGTCCTCGAACTGGCCAACCTTTTTTGAATAACATTACCGGTCAGCGACGCTACTGCTTTGGGTACTTTCAGGACCCGTCTTGAAACACGGACCAAGGAGTCTAACATGTGCGCGAGTCATTGGGACTCGATTAAACCTAAAGGCATAATGAAAGTGAAAGTTGACCTTTGCGTCGACCGAGGGAGGATGGGCCGCGTCACGATGCGGCCTCGCACTCCCGGGGCGTCTCGTTGTCATAGCGAGAAGAGGCGCACCCAGAGCGTACACGTTGGGACCCGAAAGATGGTGAACTATGCCTGGTCAGGACGAAGTCAGGGGAAACCCTGATGGAGGTCCGTAGCGATTCTGACGTGCAAATCGATCGTCGGAACTGGGTATAGGGGCGAAAGACTAATCGAACCATCTAGTAGCTGGTTCCCTCCGAAGTTTCCCTCAGGATAGCTGGCACTCGCTCGTTCTTTTCAATGGACGTTTGCGAGTCTCATCTGGTAAAGCGAATGATTAGAGGTCTTGGGGCCAAAACGACCTCAACCTATTCTCAAACTTTAAATGGGTGAGAACTTCGGTTTGCTTGAATTATGAAGCCAAGAGAGAAAATTTTTTTATTATTACTATTATTATGATGGCATATATAAAGGGAAAAATGTGGATCAGAGTGCCAAGTGAGCCATTTTTGGTAAGCAGAACTGGCGCTGTGGGATGAACCTAACGCAGAGTTAAGGCGCCTAAGTCGACGCTTATGGGATACCATGAAAGGCGTTGGTTACTTAAGACAGCAGGACGGTGGCCATGAAAGTCGGAATCCGCTAAGGAGTGTGTAACAACTAACCTGCCGAAGCAACTAGCCCTGAAAATGGATGGCGCTGAAGCGTCACGCCTATACTCCACCGTCAGTGGTATGTGAAGCGGGGCAAAAATTTCGATTTTATGTCCTCTATGAAGCCCTGACGAGTAGGAGGGTCGCGACGAAGTGCGCAGAAGGGTCTGAGCGTGAGCCTGCCTGGAGCCGCCGTCGGCGCAGATCTTGGTGGTAGTAGCAAATACTCCAACGAGGCCCTGGAGGACTGACGTGGAGAAGGGTTTCGTGTGAACAGTCGTTGCACACGAGTCAGTCGATCTTAAGCCCTTAGAGAAATCCTATGTAGATGAGGTGTCCTAAGAGGTAACTAGGACTAAACACAAAAACGCAGCTTATTTTATTTTTATTATTATATAAATCGCAGCATATTATACATAAAAAACGATGCACAAAANTTATTTTTTTTTATTATTATATAAATCGCAGCATATTTTATTATTATATACATGCACAAAAAACACCCATTGGGCGAAAGGGAATCCGGTTTCTATTCCGGAACCCGGCAGCGGAACCGCATACCATTCGGGCCCTCGTAAGAGTGTTCGTCGG